AGCTACACAAAACTTGTCATAGACATGAGTATAGATGTGTTTGTGTGCTCTTTATTTTCGATTTTGTTTTTTTTGTATGTACTACAAGTAGTTGTACGAAAAATGACGCATTCTTGTAAATCAATACATTTTAACTGATGCTTATCTACTTTTCTCGTTAATTATAGAGAACAAACAGATTCTTCGCTTAAAAAAAATCTTTAGTTGGATAATAATATTTTATAAATATAAGTCAAATGAAATGACAACGGAGTGATGTTGAGCTGTTTAATGTCGAACGAAAGAAGTTTCAAGGTAAATTATCGTGAACTTTTATCTTTACTCTAGCGTTATTATTGTTTTCCTAGAGGCAACAGTCAATATAAAGAGGTCAGTGATTGATCTATATATCCTTGTCTTTTTCTAGTTTCTTTACTGTTGTTTATATAGATTGCTGTTTACTCATTTTGAAGATCTTTCAAACGAACTTATCTATGAAATTTTCGAGTTTCTCGACGATTACGATTTATATGAAACATTTTCAAAATCTCGTTACTAATTCACGGCTCCCTATTCAAATCAACATGTCGTCCATGTCGAAATCAACTTTTGAGCGTTGTCATACCAATATTATCATGCCAAATAGATATCGAATTAAATCACTTCGTTTATCGAATCCATTCATTGTCGATCTCATTTTCAAACCTCTTCGCATCGCTCCAAAGTTCAGCCGACTGAAAACATTAATTCTTGACGATATCAAATCCGTGTCTTTTTGATTGCGGACAAAAATCAAAGCAATTAGCATGCCGACAGTGTGGGTGAGGGCTGAAATTTTGTCCGCAATTAAGAAGTAGCCAACTAGAAAAGGGTGTGGGTGTGGAGTGTTGTTAGATAATGCTTTCCTATTTAGACTGATACCCACACCTACCCATATCCTTGCTTATTGAGTCACTAAAACTTTGTTGTTAAATCATTTACTATGATTATTTTTGACGATGTTTTTGACTTGTTACTAATAGAAATCAATCGACTCATTCATACGAATCATTAAAAAGAATTATTGAAGAAATTAACGGAGATATAAGTCAATTTTCTTCACTGCCGATGACATACTACTCCGAAAAAATAATGCTAACAGAGTTAGTGAACTATTTCTAGAATTTTCTAGCAAGAATTGACCGATCCAAAATTAGCATCTTTCGTTCCATCTAGTGTGTCCCCTATAAAAATCGATAATGTTTACAATTAAAATATTGAAATAACATCTTGTTTTATATTTTATACTAAGATAAATGAACTATTCGTCTATACAAAGTAGTATTGAAAAATGGTTTATTCATTTATTTGTTACGATGAACTTGCAAAACAACTTATAGATAATTGTTGGTTTTACGCAGGTGTTGAATGCTCTCTCTTTACAAGATGTTTTGTTGCGATAATTTTTAAATATTCACTGAACAGAATTCAATAATAATGTAAATAAATATTTTATTATACATGATTATTGTTTTCTTTTTGATTGTATTCAAACTCAATAAATCTACATTATCAAACATCTGTGTGTTTCATATTTCAATGAACTTATTATATTTTTTCTATTTATTATTAGAAAATATCAAACAAAGTAAAAAAAAATATAAAGTAAAACGTAAGTTAGAAATAAATAAATATTAACCTATTTAATAAACTACATAGTTTCCATTTGATATAAACTTTAGCTTTAGATAATTTATGACTATATTTGCAGCTCTACAAAGATTTTTTCCAATGTTAATGGTACATCTTTTCAAAATGTAAGCATATCGTTTTTTGTTAGTCTATTAATTTATCTTATACAAGACTTACATAAACTTCTTATATTAAAACTTCACTCCTTATTATTATTATTACAAAAACAAAATTTATTTAAGAAAGAAGTGGACATTCTTATCAAACTTGACCTTGGCATGTATTAAATACAGATCAATAATATTGATGTTGAAGTATTTCTAAAAGAAATGGTGAAAAAATGAGATCAACTATGAAAAACTATTTGTTGATTATGCAACTAAACATGTTAATGATAATATCCATCTACAATGGCAATACTTTGATTTGTTATGTACCTGCAAACAATATTATAGATTTTTAAGATAGATACACAGAAGATCAAAGAATGCAGATTGATTAAATAACTTCTTTCAAATTTACAAAGTCATTTGATTGTGTTTCCCTTTTTTGTCTATGACTGTTTCTATCGGACGTTGATCTCGATGACCTATTCTTCTTTTGTCTGAATAGCATATTTAAACATCTTCGAAGTGAAGGATTAATTTGATAAACAAACTCATTCAATCTAGATTGAAAAAGAAATATGAATCAATTTAAACGAAAACTGAGTTCTGATGATTTATCAGAAGAAAAAACAAAGAAATTTAGGAGTAAGTTATTCATCTGGTGAATATAAAGTAATTTGTATTTCTATTTTATTGCAATAGATGAATTCGATCAATTTATAACTTATTTTGAAGATCTATCAAATGAATTATTATGAGAAATATTTGATTATCTTGATGGATATGGATTATATTAAGCATTTTCAAATCTTAATTCTTGATTTGAACATTTTCTTCATTCTTCATCTGTATTGTTTAACACTCATTGCTATTCGATTAAACTTGATAAAGTTATTAACATATTCACACAATTTATGTTTGCCAATCGACATCAAATATTTTCTTTACATGTAAATTTTATAATACGCAATAGTTATCTTTTTTCGTCATCTTTATTCGATTCATCATTTAATCGTCATGAATCTATTATTTTCGAACAAAATTCAATCCGATACACTTATCCTGATTTTAAGCAATTTATCTTCTTTACCATATCTTGTCTCATTAACCATCGAAACATCTAATGTTCCAGAAGAAATCAATGGTATCTATCGATTAATATTTGTCTTACCTAAAGTGAAATATTATCGAATTGCCTTTTCTAATAATTGTCATCTTGTTATTGATCATTAGTGTTCTTTGAATGAACTCATATCTTTGATTTCTTACACACCAAAACTTCGTCGTTTAACTGTTCATAATATAAAAATCGATTGATTCAAATATTACAATATTATCATCACTTACATTAGCTAATCTAAATTCGATTTATTTAGATTTACATCAAACAACATTTTATGTACTCGAAATATTCATTACAAAAAAATTTCCTAATTTGAAAAGTTTATTTATTGCTGGTTCAGACGATATTACTTTTCTTGATGCTTATCGATGAAAACAATTAATTTTAAATAATTTTCCTCAGTTAGAAAAATTTTATTTCGTATATGATGATCTTCTTGATAATGAAGAAAAATATCCAAGATTTACTGGAAGATCGAACCAATTTTCTTCATCATTTTGGATTGAACGACAATGGCTATTTGAAGCCGAAATCAAGGATACAGATATCGAATATACAATTCGTCCATATAGGTATATAGAAAAAAAATTTCGATAATAAATAAATAACTTTGTTTTTTTTTTGTAAAAGATGGTATGATGATACAGAAAATAATATTGTTCATCGTTATGTTAAACATTCTACATTTACTAATTTGACATTGAAATGTATTCCTAGTTCTATGTTCGAGGAAGTGATGCTTAAAGAAATTGAACGTGTTTTAACAATAACAAAAATTTATCACTTGGAAATTCTCAAAACAAAAACTCTCAATTCTTGCCTTGATTTAAGCTGTTAATCTATTACCAGATATAACTACATGAAAAATTCATTCATTATTAACGGATGAAACAACAGAATTAACTCTTAAAGAACTTCTTATTTTATGTTCAATAAAAGAAGCAAGTAAAACTACCAAAGTCTATCTTGAAGAGATTGGTGATGTTAAAGAACTTAATTTTCTTTTCATACTTTGTCCTTATATGGAATATCTTAAAGTTAGATGTATAAATAGGATGGATATTCAATCTTTCATACGTACTATTTTCAAGAAAATTAAGCAAAATAATAATCATTATCTTCGTTCATTATGTTTTTCTGTTCAAAAAGTAGATGAACAAATAGTTAAAAATATTGAACGAATGATCAATGGTGAAAAACTACTTTCTAATTTTTAAGTCAAACGTATACTAGATACTGTCTATTTACGATGGAAATAACTTGAACATGTTTATTTTTCTTGTAAAATTTGTTTAATTATTACAATAAACTATTTTGCATTGATTAGTTATTTTTTTCTCCAAAAATAATTCGATTATTTTATTACTTGATAATATTGATAATTGAACTAAGACATTCAGTCATGAGTCTAATAAACCATGAAAATGATTCATTCTACTACAGTAGGTATTCAATAGAGAAAAATAGAAAGAGAATAATAAATTATCAATTGATTAGATAATTATAACCTTTTCCGCTTTGTTTACATAACTTTGTGAATTTTGCGCATGTTTCTCTTAGAACTTAGTCATTTCATTTGAACTTTATGTTGAATCAAGAAACTTATGTTAACATGTTTAGAACTTCTATCGAAAATTTATCAAATGAAAATTTTTCATTATCTTAATGACTATGAATTGTATAAAGCTATTTTCAACTTTAATAATCGATTTTAACAACTTCGAACTTCTTCATCTCTTTTGATTAAAACTAAATATGAATTAGGGTATGGATGTAGGTGTTGTATGCTGCCACACCCACACACCGCCAGTTGTATGCATCGTTATCTTAAAGCAGCTCCAACTGCTACAACTCGAGTGACAAAAAATGCAGCCATTTCATATATATTTATCCATCTTATAATCATTCAACAGATCTTATTATCAAATGAACGATTCATCCCTGGTATATTTACTGAATAATTATTTATTTTGCAGCTGTAGTTGAATATCTTATTGATAGATATATTAAATATCTCATATGATATCTTCTGCCTCTTTAAAAGTTATTGATGGAACAATCAGACGAAAAAAGAAATACATAGATATGATCAGTATCTTGTGTTTAATTACGGATAAATTCATGTCTACATTCAATTTCCATGAAAGAAACCTTACGCATAAAACAAGCAAAAAGAACGTCCGTGTGTCATGACATTTTGTTTTCATTTTAAACCTTACATAATCATATGACTTTAAAAGTGAACTTACTTTTGATAGCCCAGAGATTGCGCAAAACCTTCTCTTTGGCATTATTTCTCCATTTCCTTTCAATTTCAGAACGCGACACGAGAAAGTGAACATTATGGGAAGCGACTTCCATTTTTTTGTCCGTGCGTCACGTTTGGTCAAGCAGATAACAAAGAGAGTTTAGAATGTGAGTAATTCGGGTTATATAAATTATTTGTGACATAGAAGAGAAAAAGAAAAATATTTTTCATGATAGAATGTGAAGGCATCTGTTAACAAACTCATGCTTGCCGCCTCTCCGTTTTTATCTTTCATATAAGAGAAGACAGTCTTTCTCTGTAGATTATTTTATTCATTTTCTATATACTCTAATTGTTTTTTGTGTGTTTTATCAATAATAAACTTCAGGTTATCTTCGTTCTGCTTTCTGCACAACTGGTTTTATTATCTGCAAAATCTCAGAAGAGGGGAGTTAAAATTGAACAGCAAGAGTGAAATGAGGTCCGTATACGGTTAAAATGTGTGTGGGAGTGCGTGGGTGTGGCTGGGTATGGGTATGAGTGTGGGTGTGGGTAGGGAAGAAAAGAAGATCCAAACCGAGACTCACACTCTCCACACGCCCCACACTCACACCCACACCCACACCCATACCCACACCCATACCCACACCCACACACCGACACCCACACCCACACCACCCACCAGAGGTGGGATTCGGTTGCCTTTTTTCCTAACCGAACCGATCGT